GTCAAATTCTCTGTCCCCCTTTTTGTGGTGTTCTCACAGTTGCTTTAGCCAAATCTTTATAATTTTCAGTCCCTTGTACATCGTGTATCTAAGGATGGTAGTGTGCTTCGTCATGATCCCACGAGTTCCACCATGATGATCTTTTTGACATAAGTCTTTTTCGCATGAACTTTATATTCCATGTCGCACTTCCTCTTTCAGGATATCTCGTAGTTCATTCCTGTCGTCAGGTCCTTAGAGTTACCAACGTTGTTGCTTATTTCTGTAGGAAATTTCAAATTCAGATTTTCAGTAGTCAGGTTAAAAGAATTTAGGTAAGTAGAGTAAAATTGCTAACACTCCTCACCAGTCGTCAGAGGTATAGCGTGTCGCAAAGAATGTGATGTTAGGAAAAACTGCACATGTTGCGTACCAGTTTGTAAATTCCTTCAACGATGTCTTCACTCATAGTGTTTCTAAATTTAGTAATGGCGCTGAATACTGAATCCGTGAGCAGCTCTTATGAGCATGGTTATGTCATGTCCATTCGAGTGCAAAACATGTCGAAGGTCTACACGGATGGATGCACGAACGACACATTTGCCAAGTTTCTATGTGATGTTGCGTAGAAACGAGCTGTGGCACAGCGGAACATTCCACCACAAGATCATTCCAACTGTTCAGTTGAAGTTCTGCAAATAAGGTAAATAAATCTTTGACAATGACTTTGATTTTACCATCTCCAAAAACTCTGCCTAGATGCCCAGTTTGCTTGCTAAAAAGACTGACTAGCAGTAAAGTACCTAACAAACCACATTTGTGCCAGACTTAAGGAGTTTCTAAAACTCTTGTTGGCCGACTGTTCCGTGTATACTTTACAGTCTATCATCTGAGACACGGATATACCTAAAATTGTGATTTTATGTTTATAGGTAAGCCTCATTGCAGTAAGTCATAAATTACATAAAACTTATTTGGATACAGAACGGAAAGTATCTTCAAATTGGGAAGAAACTTATCACAACTTCATTATTAGAGTGATGAGTAAATTTTCCTACGCTACATGGTGATTTGTCGTATCTGTTCAAACAACGGAATGTACAACTATTAAATTGAATTAAATACGTAACTGTGATGCGACCAATCGTTGTCCTTTGACCTGAGATGCATAAAACAGGCAGGGCGGTGGAAACAGACTTTATGAATGCCTTTTAATAAGACTATAGATGCATGAAGTTAAATGGCATCGGTTTTAAATTATTGTGGCAGTTACATAGAAACAACTAAAATGCGCGCCTATAAATTTCGTCCTCTGATGTAATGCTGTATTTTTGATGTTGCTCACTTTCAGAAGAGTAGCATGTATTATAGTGAAAATACTATTTATAGTTAGATGAGCATTACAGTCAGAAAGTAGCACAGCATGTGTGTGTGAAATGGACTTTCGACCAAACGAAACGATAGTTGGCATCCTTCCAACTATGGTTGTAATGATTTTTTTTGTCAAATTTTCCCTTGTCCTTCAATTAAGGATGTTTTTGCACTGAATGGTATGCCTCCACTTGTCAGAACGTGTAACGCCAAGAAATCTGTTTCTGGCATCACAAATACGAGTGCTCCATCTTTGACCATCTGTCAGTGCTAATAATTCGGATGAAGTGACTT